ATGTGCATGTTATGAACTCGCTGATATTTGTGGCGTCCGTCATCATGTTGGCATGAGTAACTGACGTCTGCATTTTATTTGTTCGATTGTCTGAATTGTCTGATTGGTTTCTTTTAGGTCTTCGAATGGGCTTGGGATTGTACAGCCAATGCAGAGGGTCGCCGAGAATATAGATACGGATGACATACCATTGAGGTACACTGCTTGTTCCATTCTGAAGACATGTTCTTAAACATACTCCTTCTCTTCTACATAATGCTCATCTGTTCTCCCGACGTTTCATTGTTTTTGTCGCCCACATGCTGTTTACCTGATGCATTGTTTGCCATGAAACATGTGTTCTATTACGCTTATGTATCAAGCGCTTTTTATGTGTATTAGTGGACCATGCTTCCGTGTCCCTTCACGCTCGTACCATTATCCATCGATCCTTCAATTGTTCCATCACTTCAGGCGCAACAGATCCGTCCGTAGGGAGAAGCGTGCTCGGCGGAGAAGGCAAATGATCATGGCTGACTCTAGTGAGGAGTCTGATAGATGAGGGAGTATCAATAGCGATACTATTCTACTACAAGGAGTAATTTACCTACTCGTGGGAAGCACACCCACACCTGCATCCTACAAATTCGACTCCTGTGACGTGTCTTATCGATGAGTGGGGGACCTAATTGCGTGGTTGTATTGGGACAAAGGTCTGTTTACCCTCTTCGGGGTACATTTATATCCATCGACCGTCCTGATATAAGAATCACAGTCGACCACACTGTCATCGTAAAACATTAACAGTTGAACACCCACTTACGGGTAAAATATACATTGTCAAAGTATGCAATTCAAGAAGGGAGCCTGGCGTACGGGATAAAAATAGTGCGGTATCTTCACAAGTCAGGGAGTTAAGTATGAACTTACAGATGATTAGCTCGCGCCATCTAAAATAAAGAGCCACTCTGAATGGCTGTCTTTCGAGTGTGTGCCAACAACGTTGTCATATTTAAAAAAAAAGGGTGATAGTCACCGACTTGCGGGCTTTGAGTCGCATACCCAGATATCCGTCTCAAATGACGAGTCTATCGAACGTGGGAGTGTGAAAGGTGGTATCGTCACGACGTGATACGGATACCTATTAATATGTAATTTGCTACCTGAATCAACAACTCGATAGCAGTGTATGATAGACAGGACGGCCAATGGCGGTATCCTTATAGTCGAAGGGACAGATAAATACTAACCTAGAAGGGTAATGGACACACATTCTATAATATATACATCTCAAATATTGAGAGTCTGATCATTTTTAAAAAGATTGTCATTGGCAGTGACATAGTACAAGCAATTAAGCAGTAAACAAAAGCCGCAGCCACATGTTATCTACGAAGAAAGGACAGCATACAATGTCAAGATGGTCCGCTTTATCTTGTATGATATATCACTCTGAAACATTAAAACAGGATTCGAGTTCCAAAGTTGAGCATTAGCATAAAGGCATATTAATGCCACGACACGACAAAATGTGTCACTGATTGCTCGTCACGACAGTCCCACCTCAGGGTGTAGTGATAACAGTTCACTACAGCCGAGCAAAGGAGATTGTCTTGATTGTAGGCTAGAAAGGCGAAATTATTTGACGGCCGATGTACAAGAAGTGGCACTGTCCTTGTGCAAAACCGAAAATACGAAGCACCGTCGAGTGTCGACGCAGCCGTCACTTGTTGTTATTGCCTTCCAATTAAGTAATGGCGGCTATGATACATTTGCAATCTAAAAAGTAGATTGTAGACGTCATAGTTAAAAACGTCATCAACTGAATTTTCATTCGAAGTTAGACTGATCTGGCCACTGATGAGGTATTTGTATATGCACATAATCTATTGGTTTGTCGTTTCAAAAAAAAAAATCACAGGACACTCCGACATAGGAGTCAGAATTCAGAAGTCACAAAGCCACTAAGACTGGGGAGTGGGGACAAGAAGATAAAAAAATAATGCATTTGCAATTGCTTGAAACCGGCATTGAGATTCAGGTATACACACTGATACCACTGAAAGACTCTGTAAGAAATGAAAACGAGTTACAAGATGTGACTTTAACCGTATATAAGCGCCTCGAGCAATAGAATATATAGTCAATTCAACCTCATACATACATACCTATTTACCCTTCAACTGTCATGAACATGAAACCCACCACCATTGCCGTACTTGCCTTGCAAGCCGTGACATGCGCTGTCGCAACTTCGACCACTGGCAGCAATAATATCCGTCCAACATCTGAACCCAAGTATAACATGTCCGAATTCGATAACTACAAAGGCTACGCATGCAGAGGTCCACACGGCAGTCACGACGACAAAGATCACTACTATGAAAGAATTCAAGCTTCCGCCAAGGAGTGCCGACAAGCATGCGAGCGCCAGGATTGGTGCACCGGCTACGAGACTGGCAAGAACAATCACTGTGAGCTGTGGGAGAATGAGATTGGTACTGATCTCGAGCGTAAACACGGTTTATCATGCTACGTTAAAGAGATAGTTGAGCCTGAATATGACTACGATGAGGAATTGAGGTACGGATGTCGGGGACTTCAAGGAGAGCATGATAACAAAGACTACTACTACGAATTTAATCGACTATCTGCCTCTGAGTGCCGATATCGGTGCGACCAGTACGATTGGTGCACTGGATACGAAACCGGGAAAAACAATCACTGTGAGCTATGGAAGGAGAATATCGGTGACCACCTCAAGAAGACGAGAGGTTTAACGTGCCACATCAAAGATACAGACACAAATGTTGATCCGTGCGAGGCTGGAAAGGTCAAATCTATATCTGGTTCCAAAGCTATCGACGTTACTTTTGAAAACCAATTGAAGAGACCTGTTCATGTCTCCTGGATCGATTATGAATATGCAGCGGTTGATTACAACACCCTGAGCTTTCGTGACTCGTACACTCAATCGACTTACGAATCCCACCCTTGGTTGTTGTCAGACAATAAAGGCCAGATCGTGCTAGAAGATTTCATCGTGGGTCACAACTCATGCGCAGAAAACAGGCGGTCAAGATCTGGTGCTCAAAAATCCAAGTTCTCCGTTTACAACTCAGGGTCGCATATTATGGAGCTTTACTGGTTGAACTACGATGGTGAAAGCACTTACTACGGAAGCATTGCTTCTAAGCAGACCTTCAATATGAATACGTATGCCACCCACCCGTGGTACATTACTATCAAAGGAAAGATTGTTGTTCAGTGGACTGCAACTGCCTCCGACCTACAGCTAACTACTGATGGCAAAGGGGAGTACAAAGTTGTTATTCCATAAAAAAACACATTTCATTTATTATAAGCATTGGTTTCATGTAGATTCTATACAACTACTGAATTGTATGCAAGAGGCAGATTAATTATCAGCAACCATCATAAAATATTGTCGACTGACAGCTAAGAGAAGTACGTAATTGTTATTCAATAAATATCCACATTTCATTTGTATGAAGTATTGAAGTATTTGGCATTGTTCTGATACTATTCAAACACGGGTACTGTACGCACACCTATACTCACCAACATGCCACCATTGGAATGGCATTTCCAACCTCCCGAGACATGCAACCGTTACTCCGGAACATAGCGAATGAATCCGGGGTACATAATAGCTCAACAATGATCGGCATAGCATCCACAAAATGCACGAGTATTATGGTCAAATTGTAAAACCATCAGATAGAGCCATGTATTCGAGTTGCAGAATGTATCAACAGCCAATATTCCCCACGAGCCACACAAGTCTCTACTAAATGTTTAATGTTGAAAAATAACCCTTTGCATTTTGTTGTTGACAAGTTTCCATGTACATATATATACATATCTACTTCCACTTTTGCTTGAGCTTCTTCTCGCGCGCAAAGTACTCGGTGATACCAGCAGCCACGGTGATTCCAATCAGACAAGCCAGAAGGAAGGGCCGGTTGAACTCCTCTCCCAGCTATGGATGGAAAATGTTTTGATCGATTAGTGCGAAAATGAGTCGGAAATACGTACTGGACAAAGATCCATCTATGGTTAGAACATACATATTTCAAAGTAGAAACCGATAATTGTTCCAAACTTGCCTTACCAATTAAATTGGCTTGATTGACAAAATTGGGGCCAACAAATATTTTAATAGGATAAGTATCGTTATCTTTCTAAAAATAAACACCTGGTGTAGCTTTAAGGGCGGTTGATAAGGTTTGGCGACATAGCACACGCACTCCGCCACACACAATCGTCCTAAGACAAATTCACACACGGCAGGCACCAAATATATCAACATAGAATATGTACCGAACAGACATATCACGCCTATTTGCACACAGGCTAGTGGTCCAGGAGGATCAGATCAAAGAGAGAATTCGAGCATGGCCAATACCTGGGAGAGCTCCATTCGTCGGTGGCCATGCTGCAGGCGTAGCACGAGTATAGCATGTACATCGCATGCACATAGCATGCACGTGCATACATCACAAGATATAAGAAGACACTCACAGATACATCCGAGCCCAAGATATAGATAGAGTATACCATACATACACACATATATGACCCGACATATACCTGGTCGAAGGAGCCGGCAGGGGTGATGCTGCAGCTAAACATATCCAACCCGTGCGCAAACACCACGGCCCTACTCTCCAGCAGAGTGGACGCTGACCGCACCGCCGTAAAGCGATGGATGCGGTGGTAGTAGTTGAGCAGGTTAATGGGCAGCATGGGGATCAGAGGGGTGTATGGCGTTAGACCCAGCACAGGCTTGGCGTCCTTACCTACGGGACGGCGAGGGTCCAGGAGCTTCTCGGAGAGAGACAGCAGACCGCCTGTGCGCAAGCCAAACAGGATGGTGTTGGAGGCCAGGCCCTGGGCGGTGGAGAGGGGGAGATGGAATTGGCCAATTGTGTTCTATTTATATATCGCTAGCCGGTTGGAAAACAAAGGGTAGAGTTAAAGGCAAGAGATTGGAATAGTTGGCTGTGTTCTATTTTTAGATCACGCTTTATTGGTAATGTTAGATGGTACACCAATCGATAACGAATCACTAAAGATAGGGTAGTAAGGTAAGCAACCTACAGACACACCCACAAAACACAAAACACACGTATACATATAAACAGATACACAGAGGGGTGCATGCAATCTACACAAGTACAACTCGCATAATTGTATAGATATGTGTACCTGTGCGGTCTGTGCTACGGCCAGAGTATCGACTGTTGCACCTAGCACCATAGCCTGTCTGATAGCAATGGGCTGAGTGGACTTGGACGACTCAAACTCTTGGCGTGAGTCAGGATTGGAAGACTCAAACAGCGACATGCTCACCACTTCCGTGCGTTGTTCCTGAGGGTAGTATGACGGGTGGTGTGAGAAAATAAACCATGAGTATGGCATATAAAAATATACATATACATATATACACACAAACATACACAATCATATATATATATATAGGTATATATTGATACATACACACACGTACATATATAGAAACAAATACACACAGACACACAAAAGAAAAACAAATTCCCATACTCGCACACACACACACTCGCGCGCGCACAGACACAGACACTATATATATATATATATAAATAATATAAACATATATATGTATGAATATAAATATATATATATATACACGACCACACACACACACACACATACACACACATATATATAAATATGTATTTATATATTACAAGTGCATGTTTATACATGAGGTGGCAGGTGCATAAATGATAGCGTCTAGTGGTATTGATCGTTGTGAAAGGATTGGAAGACTCGGACTAAACAGATCCGGAGTCCATATAGCGTTCTTGAGAGTGGATTCAATTAGATGCAATAATGATGTACAAGAAACTACATACACAATCCGAATACAGGAGGCCCATTGTTAAAAAGGATTATAAATATCAGCTAGATAGTAAACTAAATACTTCCCCTGCGTTGTTTAAGCTACTGGTACAAATATGCATATAAATGCTATTGAAACAGATAGAACCATTCGACTCGCATAAATGATACTACGCACATACAAATTATTTAAACATACCACTCCATCGTAAAGGTTGTCGCACATAGCTGAATCACAACATAAGTTGCAGCTATTTAGAGATATAACACTTGAGTGTACATTTATCGCTACAACCATATACATCATGAAGACGCTGTGTCTGCAGCTACCTGAATGTTCTGATATGTGTAGACCACATTGTTGACCCACTGCACGACATGAACAGGCTCGGCGGCGTCTCTGTGCGTCAGACGTTGAATCACATTTCCGGTCACCGTGTCCAAGAGCAGTATGGTTAGCAACCCTGTGTCGTACGAGTCGGATATTGTTTGTTCGAGTTGTCGTGTATTGTATGTCATTCATATAGGCTGTTCACATACACGCACACGGGGATATGCACAGGTACGTACATGCACCTGCGTGGCAACAGTCGCACACACATACATGCTCTATGCACGTGGATGTGCACACATGGGCACAAACACACACATAGACACACAAGACCGCCCGCTCAAACGCCCGCACGCGTGAGATCGATACACCCAGTAGCTAAGTGCCTTTGTGTTGATATGTTGAGGCAGGGATATGTAATTGCCAGTATGTTCATCCTGATGCACTGACTGCCTCTACACACACACACACACACACCACATACCACATAATCATATATATACATACATCATATAAATATATATATGTATATAAATATATATATGTATATAAATATATATATGTATATAAATATATATGTATATAAACACACATACACATACACATACACATATACATATATATATATATGTATATAAACACACATACACATACACCTACACACACACACATATATATACATATACATATACAAATACAAATACATTCACATATACATAAATACATACATAAACATATACATACACACATATATATATATATATATATATATATGTGTGTGTTCGTATTCTGCATGAATTTCAAACTCATACCGGTGTTCGACAGTGTGGCCATAGCCATCTGGTTCTTGTTCAGGTACTTGTACAACAGTTTCTCCTGGGCGTCTCCAATCATCTGGAATTGCAAGGGATTTTTTTCTGCAAACACAATCCCGAATGCCCACGAAAATATTAGAAACTGGGTCGCACGGGTTCACGACAGGCGAAATATTGTGTACTTATAAACAGGCCCAACACTTTTCTAAGTCATAAAACATACACACACAACGCCGCACAAGCTCCGCTCAAAAGCCTTGACAGAGTAAGATAGCCATCGAGATGTATATGAGTAATCATGCTGTGCACCGCCTCACCGTAGTGCTCACAAAGGGCGATTGATGGTATGATTGTATAACTTAAGCTGGCTAGAGATCCAGGTATATTTGCCCCACAGATACTACGAATTGGTTAAAGCAACGAATCAGGTTGGTTATGGAATATACAATGAACAAACGACTACTAAAACTTGCACTACAAAACACCCAGAGCATGACGTCAGCATCTATGGCAAAGGACAGTGTAGGGCGAAAGATATGCGCAGCGCTGGATGGGTCAGGCTATCAAGCAAGCTGTGATGTTACAGACGAAGTACTATGATATGACACTCGTACACAACGGGTGCAGTACTTGCCACACACTGAATACAAAGCAAAGACAAAGGCAAGCAAAAGAAGACCATCACCATTGCAAATACTCGATAAATACTTACACAGATCAATAAATGCATGTATACACCCACCCACTTACACTAAGCACACACATACACACACTTACGTTTAGTGCAAAATCGCTTGAACGCATACACAATTATACACACCATATTGCGGCTTGCGGCTGACTGCGACGATGGTATCAGTCTCGGTGTTGATTCCTACACTCCATGACTGGCGCCCGTACAGCTGCGAGGAGCACAGGATACGCATTAGTCACTAGGTCATGGACTCGCGCTAGAAGAGTACACAAGCCATAGGTTTGTGGTACTATTTTTAATAAAATGAACGGAAGGTACATATCACCACTCGTTTGGTGTACAAATATACGAAAATATGAATAGTTATATCAAGTGTGCTGCAAACATTGCATGGGGTTGTATATCAACCTCAGGAGATTATCTGCCAGCTAAATGAAGGACATATGTGCAGACAAGCCCTACACATCATGCGTGTGCACATGCATGGAGAAGCCGCTATCTTAGAGTATTCGCACAAGATAAATATAGCTCGAGCTGAGCGCACACTAAAAGTATAGTATAACCTATTAGAGACAGGACGGGTAAATACACGAGACAAGGAACAACCTCGTACATGACGATTAGAATGACTATATTCACACTGCGTTTATATATATATATATATATTATACATATATATATATGCATATACATACATACATACATATTCATATACATAATACATATATACATAGCATACTCATCTAGTACAACCTAACAAATACAAAAAGGCTATACCTTCGAGTCCTTAGATATAACTTCATAGCCCTGTGCAAGTCCATTGTTCATATCCACAGAGTGCAGGAAAAGATTGGGAATCATCTGCTGCACTGTGCTGTGGGCGTCGGCCGTAGCGGGAAGCACGTGCACGCTGTCATCATCACTCAGCAGCAGAATGGGCCGGGCAAAGGAGTGATCTGCATTGTGTGTGAACAAGTATCATGCTATAAGTATGGATATATTATACGGCTATGCGTAGTGGTAAGTATATATGCTATAGTACTTTAGTGCACAGATGTAAACATTTCAGTGCGCTATCTTGATAAATAGGCGAAAAAAGCCGTTATCATTCAAAAGAAGAATGTCTTGATATCATGTGTATATGGGACAACATACTAGTGTGTAGAAGTATACAATAGTGCACATAACTATGTATTAATGTACATAACTATATAACTATATATATAAATAATATACGTGCACACATGCAACTATGCTCTTATACCGTGAATGACGCATATATGAACATATATTCCAAAAACAGATATACATGGGCACTTACCGTGGTGACCTAGACTGGAGATCAGCACAATATTGGAGGGTAGGCCTTGAGCCTGTTCCGCTTTGCCCGTGATGGGATTGAATGTCCACGCCACAAACTCACCCGATTGCTGAGACCTGTATATGATGAATGAGGGACAGACCAGAGAGCGAACATTTTTATATCTATATTTATATCAGTATACATAAACTTAAATATAAATTTATTTAAAATAAATTTATATAAATATATAAATATGCATATACATAATATATATATACCAACACGAATACACACACATAAACCTGCACACATGTCAACGCACACACATACGTTCCAAAGGCGTACACGGTAGGCTCGTGTGGGAAGTGCGCCGCACTGCGCGACACAATCAACGGCGTCTCCTCTCTCGGCGCAAACTCCTCACTATCTAACCCCACGCCATAGACCACACGTCCGCTGTTCGAGTGCAGGCCCACTATCTTTCCGTTAGCGCACATGCATACGATGACCTTGTGCATGCCAAAGGCATCGGTTGTCATGGTTTCCTTACTGCTGGCCGAGTTGGTGAAGCCCATCCACGCGAAGAACTCCGAGCTGAAGAGATTGTTGGGGGTAGTCATGGACGTGGTTGAGATTGGGTCGATAAAGATGCTTGAAGTGTGTAGATGGGTTTATGCAACACACTTGTGTGGGGGTGGTTATGAACGTGGTTGGGATTGTGTTGGTCAATGCTCGAAGTGTCGCGGTCTATAGATGAAACTCGCACACACACACACTCAGAGAGTATACTTTGTTACATCTGTTTATGACTCATATACACGCTCAAAGAATACACACTGTGCCTGTATATGTACACTACCGCACCCTTACGACGCTCTGAATGCACATCTGATTGCTCGCCAGCATTGTTTGTTCCACGCCAATAGCGTGGTACTAATCGCCACCAATTGATCATTCGACGACCACACATTGAACTCACAGGTGCTTCTCCGGACACTAACACACAGACATCCACTCTCGGTAGGTGCACACCGCAAACTATCGTCCATCATTCAAAATATTCAAGGCACACACCCCCCCAAAAAAAACCAACATACATGTATTTATACACACACACACACACAAACTTACGGTGATTTGATTGCCCAAGTGACGAACCGCCGGAACTGCTTAGCCTGGGTCACCAATCTGGTACTAATGGCTACCAAGAAATTGCGAGAAGACTCCACATTGAACTCCTCCGTCAGCAGTTCGATCTGGTCTCTATCCGCCGGCAGAGCCAGTACAAGTGCCTGTACAGTCTGTGCCAAAGCTTCCTCACGCACGGCTTTGAGAGCCCCGTGGGCGATGAAGATGGTCGCGGAATCGGACAGCACGACCACTAGCGTGTCCTGATTGTGGGCAAATACCTGTGCGGGAAGTAAGCCAGTGGCTATAGTGAGCTGTTGTGTATTGGGTATGCGAAGAGAGTGTACTGAGAACATGGAATATTGTATATGTGCATGGTGTGTGTGTTGCGCAGGTGGCGGCTTTAGAGGAGTGTGCAGAGTGCGATATGCAGATAGTCGAAAAACCGGATAGCACGAGTACTAGCGTGTCATGGTTGTGCGCGACCGCATGTGTGTGAGGTATATTAATGACTGGTTGATTTGATGTACTATATGTTCAATGCGAGACGCACGATTACATGCAACATCAAACTAGCAAACAGGCTCATGACGAGTGATTGAAGCTACTTTCAGGCCACTCAGAGACAGTAAGCGAGTCATGAGCAAGATAGTGGTATGGCGACGCTATAGGGTACGCACACAGAAGACCGCAAAGAGAAAGCACACGGGCGTAAGCTTAGGGATATACGACGACTGGACCAGAAATATGAGAGGACGATACCACATTCGCGTATAGTCCGAAGAAAAGACAAATAAATAAATAAAAAAACCAGCAAAGAAAAGCTCCGCTGACATAGGAAAATTATAACTTCAACATATCGTCTGAAAATAAACAGACATGCCTATCACACTCTTCGTCCCCTAATAGGCAGAATGTTAGAAATCTGTGGCTATCATTGCTCCTATCGTTTCATAAATCTCTTTTCTATCATTTCATATATCTCTATATCTATAGTCTAATAAATAAAGCGAACATCTTGTTCTCGCCAGCCGCATATGAAATCGAAGCAGACGTGATATTAAAGCGACCATAAATATGCTACAAAAGAATACAAGTGATATCCAAATAACCATATCTCACTGATCGCTGAAACAACCAAAATATAATGCCTTTTCAATCGGTAATAGTCTAATTGGTACAATGACCCGTGTGGATATACTGATCTGCGCTTCATTGGAATATGTATCGAGCGATACTAATCCCAACTAAGAAGGCAAGCAGGCATATCTATTCACAGATGTGTCAGAAATCACTTATAGACAAACGTACGCACGTGGCTGCATGTGCGTAACTGTATGATATTATACGCATGTACGTATACACACCCAACTATATCCACACAACTCGATACAATTCACTACAAAACCCCCACGAAGACAGCGCCTTCTGCACGCTCATAGACCACTCTGCACCACAAAAACCCAACCCAACCCAACACCATACCACATAACAAGCCCCAACCCAACACAACACCACACCAAATCATACAACAAAGCACAACACAACACAACACCACACCACACACCCTGTCGATCTCTCCATACACAGACGTCTCCGGAAGGATCACACTGGCGGCCTGTGGTGCGGCACTGCCACTCTCCTCCGCAAACACAAGGCTTTCCACCACCTTGCCCGAGGTTAGCGTCGCACACACATTGCCGTCACAGTACACATCAGTGGTATCGAACTTTTTCACAATCTGCGCCTTGGATGTGCTGGTGAGGCGGAACACAGCGGAGGTGGTCTCGGTGTTCAGCAGCAGCAGGTCAGAGCCGGCAAGGCTGATGGAGGTGTAGTTGCCTGCTTTGTCCTGAAGAGTGGGAGTACGAAAGTGTTTGGTGCGTGTATGAGATATACGTATAAAGCACCTGGGCGTGTGAATGTGTATACGTATAAAGCACCTGGGCGTGTGAATGTGTATACGTATAAAGCACCTGGGCGTGTGAATGTGTATACGTATAAACACCTGGGCGTGTGAATGTGTATTTGTATAAAGCACCTGGGCGTGTGAATGTGTATTCGTATAAAGCACCTGGGTGTGTGAATGTGTATACGTATAAAGCATCTGGGCGTGTGAATGTGAGGTATGTATGGACACATGCCTAACAATCACGCACTACAACTCTTTCGCTCCAGCACCGTCATACTGCGGCATGCACACCACTTTAAACTGCGGCGGGGTCCACTCCAACACCCGCATGCGCTTTCGGTGCTACCCTGTTACGTATAACTCCATAAGGCATCTCCGCTAGCCTATCACTGTATGCTATGATTATATCATATTGCTGACGATCACGATCCCACGGCAACAAACAGCCACTACTCAACTACCATACCCAAACGTATAAATGTTTAGATACAAAGCCACTATAACAAGCAGACATGAACATAACCCCCACCTTCTCGTCCAGAACATTCACAGTCTGGCAGTGGCACGAGCACACGATCTTAATTATTGATAGCACTAACGAAAAGATCCATTTTTGATATCTCTATATACACAAGCACCTAAATTACATCTCGTGTATCCAAGCCAACAAGCAGCTCAATACCTACCACCTGATGCCTCTAGCGTCTATCCTCTCTCCATATCCAAACAATGCGTCGCACTTTATACTAATTTGCTTGTTTACAACAAAATCCATCCATCCATCCATCCATCCATACATACACACACACACACACACATGTATATATATGTATATATATATATAAAGCCTGCAACCAGAGCGATACCAACCTTCTCATTGAAGACCTCCACAGTAGTGACCTTGCCGCTGGCAATTTCACCCGCACACACCGCAGCCCCCCCACACAGTGTCACAAAGGTGTTGCCTCCATTGACCACCACATGCTCGTACGTGTGCGCCTGTGTCGACAGCTTGACCACAGCATCGCGTGCCGTGCCCGCGCCATTAACACTGTAAACGTGCACGTCTGAGCTGCCTTGCAGCGTGAACAGGTTGATACCATCGCCCTTGGCGTTGCTGAAGATTTCCTGGGTGTCCTGGGGTGGCGTGATGGTGTCCACAACGTCGCCAAAGCCATTGTACTGTGTGAGGCTGTCCTTGACTAGAACGTGCAGATTGCCATCTTGCGTGAAGGCAGCGCTCACCTGGATGTGTGGAGATGGGAGTTAGCGGTATGTGCGTGTGTGTACGTATGGTGCTCGTGGATGGCAGGATACTCCAAAATGAACACGCGCATAGACATGCATGGTCAGTAACCTAAACTCATTTGAAACACGCACGGACAGGCAGACAGTGACAGTAACACAGACATACTCACGTACACAGATCATATATCAATGCGGACGTATACACTCTAAGACAGGTGTTCGTATAGACACGCACAAAATTTGATGGCGGGAACCAGTATCAAGCCGTTCTTTAGTTGAATTAGTCACAGCCAATCGAATTCATCGCGTCTGCGCTAAAGTCGTTAGCGGAGACGAATTGGGGATTAGATTTCTGAGAAACAATTTAAAAAATAGGGATACAGATGTGTGTACATATATACATGTATTGATATTTTGGTCAGGCTTGATCGCAGCCGAAGAAGCAGTCCGAATACAGACGTCTTTGAACAATGCCGATTGCATTGCACAGTACGAGCTTTTCACTATATAAAATAAATTTATACATGAAATCGCACCATGAAGAACAATACGACAAATAGATTATATATATAAAAGCATACATACATACATCCATACATATACATAAATTCTGAGGAACACAAATTTTTAAACGACGATGCATCAATGCAAATCAGCGTACAGGCATTATTGTAGATCTACGACTACATGTATAAATACATACCTATATATATACATACATATATATATACGTATATATATATACATATATATATATGTATATATATATACTTATATATATAAGCATATATAGATATACATACATATACATATACACATATATATACATACATACACACATATATATATATATATACTATACACATACATTCATACATACACATATACACATATACATATATATATATACATATATATATATACTACACACATACTTTCATACAT